ATGCCTTGGCCGCAATTTTGTTCGGCCTCGGCCTCGGCCTACGCTTGAGGCCGAGATGATCATGCCTTAGCATTTCTTCTTTTATTTTTAGGAAGGCGAAATACCCTGGCGAAACGCTGCGTTTCAGCTTCTGCGAATAAGTGCCAGGGCCAAGAGAAAGGGCTCCTTCGGCCAGCTCATGGCCGTGATTTATCAGGCACAAACAAAAAACAATGTGTCTACATTAGAATTTTTTTTTAAAAAAGTAATCTTATCTGATACATGTACGAGGCAAAGGACTTAGATCAACAACAACATATGTGTAAACTAAACCCAACTTTTGGTTGAATTTTTGGATTTACCTCAAGTTAAAAGTTTGGTTTTGAGATCTATCTCAAGTTCTCTATAATTCAATTAAACTACTGTTATTTTAATTAGTACTTTTGATATATAAAAGTACCTGGTGGGACTTGATGTCATCCATGAGCCTACCAATTAATGATGCAGCCTTTACCATCTTAGGGTCGTTGAACACCCAATCCATGGAGTCTTTGGTAGCAATATCTCCCATTCCAACAAAGGATGTGGTTGCCATCATGAAGTAGGATGTATCAAGCGCTGCCGACATGTATTCATCCATTGTTGGTGTGTATTTCTGATGTAACCATTTGGCTTCTCGGAAGTAAGCTCTAACTTGGACTTTCATCTGAAAGACCAACCATCTAATTAATCTCTAATCTCTCTATAATTTCATCACACACAAAAAAAATATACAGGGAAAAAATGTTTTTTAGTCACCGAGTTTTACATGAAAATTCAATTTCATCATTGGGAAAAAAAATTAAGCCTAGTGACCAAATTGAAATTTCATGCAAACCTAGTAACCAAAAAAAAAAAATTAACCCAATACATATAATTTATTTATAAAAAGAAAAAGACAAAGAATGGTAAAATATTCAAAATACTAAAAAATACACTTAGTTAAAAAAATATATTAAGAAATGAACATATTTATTACATTTAAATTGACTTACTAATATTTAGAAATAAAATATTTCTATTTATTAAATAAATAAATATTAAAAAAAAAAAACTATAATTGGTAATGGGATAATATTATAGGCACGAAAATATTAATTCATGTGGCTTACTGCTTCTCTTAAGTAGTGGATGCTATATAAGTTTCCGTCATTTGCAAGATTTTCTTCAATTTCAACGTAAACATCCAATAGTGCCTGATAGCAAATTTTCATGTACTCTGGCAGATGATCCATAGCAGAGATGTCCCACCTTATCATACAAAAAAGAAGATATAAGACTATGCATGTCTTATTACGGCTTATTCAGATATATACTACAAAAAGTTGTCTTCTCATAATTGTTTTGGATGAGTGTCTGATGACTATTTTGGGGTGTCATTGTAAAACCACCGACGTTTTTTTTCAAAATACTAATACTAACAAAATAAGGACTATTATTTTAAACCTTTCAACAGCTTCAGTAAAGAGCTCTAATTCCTCATGTGTGCCATACACATCATAGATGTCATCAATGATGACTAACAAAACAGTAACTTTGCATAGTGTTCTCGTAGCAAAGTAATATTGGGGCTCAAAGTGTACTCCCGAAGCCCAAAAGTAGCTCTCAACTACTCTGTCTCTTGCAAAAGGTAGCTTGTTTACGAAGTCTAAGTCCTTCCACCACCTGCATGAATTAATTACATTATGCTAATGTAAATAGGAGATTAAAATTGATTGACAATATAAAATACATTAACCTTGAAATTTCACTTAGTTCTCTTTGATGAACTTGTTGCAGTAGATTGAAATCCAGCTTTGCGAAATTTAAGAGAGTCTCGTTTCGTGAATCGCGTTCCTGATAGAGAGACAGGTAATGCCTTGTTTCTAGCCTTGGCAAGCCCTTCCATAGTGGCTGGTACATGGCATGAGTTACTTGTTTCAAAAGTATGGGGCTTAAACGGTGCGTTGCAGATTCAAGATGAGTGGTGGTGAAGGTTAAGGCCTCATCAAGTATATCCTCTCCATGGATCCTAAGATGTGTGGCTTCGTACAAGCTTAAAAGTCCTACTACATCATTCACCAGAGATTCCTTAAATTTCCCATCATCGTCCTTGAAATTATTGAATATATCTGCATGATGAGGCATTTTTAAAACAAACCATGATCAGAGGAAGAAAATTAATCCATAATTATAAAACAAACCATGAGGGCTACATACCGCACGAAACATTATAACCTTGTTGTCTGAGTAATCGAAATCGGAGCGCTGCAGTGTAAAGCTCATTATCAGTTTCTTGGTCCCCAGACTCAGTACTGTCATGGGAGCTGTTGTGAATTTGCTGCAGAAGTTCCTCAATCTCATTTTCAAAATGGTGAGAGACACCCAAGCGCTGAATGTCATCAATCAAGTCCAATTTTTGTGAAGGCTTTTTAACTGGAGCCATTATGATCATCTTCACCTTTTCCTTCAGTTCTTGGGCACGTTGCTTAGCTTTGATGTTTGTTTCCTACAAAAACAGATTGGAAGGTCATTAAAAAAAGGCTTAATATCACAAAACGTCCCTAAAGTTTACGAAATTATCAGATTGCATCCTTAATGTTTTTTTGTGTGATTCGTGGTCCTCAAGGTTAGTATGTGTGATCACAAATGGTCACTACCGTTAGGTTCTGTAAAAAATTCCGTTAGTTTGCTAATGTGACATATATATATCACAAAACATCCCTTAGGTTCATGCACCTATCACAAATGGTCCCTGCGAAATTTTTTAATTTTTTAATTTAAAATTCATAAAATTTGGATTTTCTTTTTTAAATTTGTGATAGGTGTGTGAAGTTCAGGGATGTTTTGATGTTTGTTTTCTACAAAAACAAATTGAAAGGCCATCAAAAAGATAGGAACTTCAGCATGGTGCATGCAAATTTAAACCACAAATCTTTAGTAATGAATATATACATATTTATTCCCCCTTTGTTCATTAAAAAAATATACATATTCAAAAAAATTGTTGCAGATACGAAGTACATATAGTATTAGCCTACCACAGAAGCATATGACAGAAAATGATAGCCCCAAATGCTCGGAGAAAAATTAGCAGAACGTCGATTAACATCATCAGGAGTGGCCTTAGGGGTTTGAGGTTGATCCGATGCAAGTGAAACTTGAACAGACATTGTATTGCTAGTTAAGAATCTGGAAGAGATCGAAGGTAGAGAATAATGATCTTAATTGCTCAAGGATTGGTGTGAGTTGAAGAGCTATGGTTCCTACCTAATTATAGTGAAAGCGTCTGTCTTTGTCTCTCCCCCACCCTCTCTAACCTAGCTATATATCTATAGAAGGGCACAGCTGGAAGATACCCAACATGTGTTAAATATGAATCCCAACTGAAATTAAACGATCTCTCAGGAAGTGTTGGGATTTTGAATTTCTTTCACAATTTTAAGCATTTGTTCATGTTTTCTTATTGGGTTTGTTTGAATATAGTACATATAAGAACACATTTTATTCAGAAAACATTGATAAGACCTCGAAGGCTGCGGAGGTTACAGGTGTGTTGAGATTTTTTCCCTAAGCTCTTAGAAGTCATTTTACAAAGAGATAAACTTGTCTTTAAAATTTTGAAGATAAGGTGCGCGTATATTTTGGCGTCGCCATAATTTTTTCTGTTAGTTATGGCGTGCCAGCTACGTGCGCCGGAAACTTTAATACCATTTATGGTGTTCTTTCTACGCAGGCCGTAAAAGAGGTTACCATCAATGGCGTGCTTTTTATGCACGCCGTGAAGTCCAGTTTTTTCCCTCAAGATTTTTTGGCGTGCCGCCCTCTTTTTCACCAAATTTAAGTTTGGTGCGTGTTATTCCTTCGGGTTTAGGGATTTAAGTTTGAACCAAACCCTGTTATTCCTTCCAGAAACCCTCGTATACTCTCTCCAATCCTAACCAACTCTTTAACCCAAATCCTCTCTCATCTCTTCTGAGACTGCATTTCTCTCTCTCTCTCACCAAATCCCACATTGAGCATCCCTCTGTTCTTGACTTTCTTTTCAATTGGGGGAAAATAAACCATTACTTTGGTTCCGGGATGAACATCTGATATGTTCTGAGCCACCTCTTTCCCAAAACAATCTCTTTCTTCTCCCTTCCTCTCCCTCTCTCTGGTATTTTGTTTGATTAAACCTTTCTGCAGTCAGTAAAAAGTTTAAAAGAAAAGTTAGTTATTTATACCTAAGTTTTTGATTATTTAACAACTAGTATAAAAGAGCAAGTGATGTTCAACACCTCTATTGTGGAAGTGGTGATATGAAACTGAAACATTCTTCGTTTTGTTTTACTAAACTGTATGCTATTGAGCCATATTGAGAGCCTGAGCCTGAGTGCACAGGTCCTGACAATTAAAGAAGCAATCTTGGGCAACAGAAACCGAAAAGCCCTACATAGAAGTGTGCACTTGTGGAGAGTTTTTTCAATATTTCTAATAAGGAGTATATATCAATATTTCTAGAACGTGATAGAGACTGCTTTCCATTCCAACTAATCAACGATACGATCAATACAAACACAAATATGAATTCAAACAGGGGCAAGCACAAGGAGAAGAACAGAGAATTATTATCTTGTAAATAAAATTCAATTAACTGAAAAAGGAAAAATAGATAAAATATGCAAAACCCATGTCTTGTTTTCCAGAATGATCAAGAAACAGATTCAGTTCAAGGAAGAATCAGAGAAAAAGCAAAGAGGAATTCAAACTAAACAAATTTTGAATATGGACATCGATTCAGAGAAAAAGAGAAAGACAAGCCAGAAGAAAACACTTGAGAGAGAGAGAGAGAGAGGGCTTACCGTAAAGTTGGAGGCGCTTGAGGAAGAAAGGCGTTTGCAGTTAATAGAGAGAGAGATGACTTACAATATAGCAGACCAAAAAGAGGCCAACGATAAGGAATGGGTTATCGCGGGCTGAAAATTTTGGCGGGCAGAAAATTGTGGGATCGCGGGCAGAAGATGACAATTCCCTCTCTGTTGGGAATTGTACAATTCCGCCTATTACCATGGAATTTCAACTCGGGATTTTAGATGTGCAATTCCCACGATATTTTATGCGTGTAATTTGGCAAATCCTGAGTTGATTTTGCCAAACGCTGAACTTTCCCTTTTCCACGCTCCAAATCCCGACTTTTATTAAAATCCCGAGTTATTTTACCGCATCCAAACACACCATAATAGATTTGAGAGGAAATTATTTCAAATCCGTATCTCGTTCTCTCGGTTTGACTCTCTCTCCACCAGCCTCTCGTTCTCCATTCCCTAGCAGATTAGCATCCACTCTCAACAGGTAACAACCCCCCTTTCTCTTACTCTCTCTTTCTAACTGTGAATGTGAGGATTTGGAATTTCAACTTGGCATTGTAGTTTAGGCTTATTTGGGTATTGAATTATGTTATATTATTTGGCTAATTCAATTGTAAGTCCCAAAAATATGTTTGGTTTTGTATAGAAATTGGGGTAATTCTTTTGAAATTATATTGTAGGTTTTTCCTTGAAAGAGATTTTGCTCTAATTTCTTTTCCCTGTTTCATTATTGTTTTACTTTTGATTTTTTCCATTACAATAGAGTCATGTGTGGCAGATAGCAGGTGTTCAACTGGTGGTCTGGATCTGCCTTAAAATGGTGCCCCCCAAGTGTTCAATGAAAGGTCTGAACAAAGAGAGTTTGATGCAGGTGCTTTGTTTTGATTATGACTATGAATTTTTTTCTTGGGCTGAGTATTCCATGTGTTCTTAGTCCGCTTATAAACTTTAATGTGAACCTGATTGTTGTCACCATGGATATACTGCTGCATAATCTCTGGTGGTGTTTCTTTAATTTTTGGTTGCATTGGCATTTAGTCTTGCACATTTGTTTTGCCTTGAAATGACAGAAATCAGAAATCTTGTAAGTCTGGATGAGGCTAATTTCTGTGTAGTGTGTTTCCTTGAACAGAAGTGAGGCTAATTTCTAAGGTTAAGCACAAAAACCTTGTAAGTCTGGATGAATTTTATGAAGAACCATCTGGTATGTATGCATTGTCTAAGTTTTCAAGTCTTCCCCTCTGTTTCCATAAATACTTCATGTGTATTAATATGGTGTGTTCGGATTATTTTTATTTCCTTGTGTTATTGTGAATTGTTTTCTTAGCTGAAGTGGTAAGGCATGGATGGGAATGAGGAATCTACCCTGTAAAGAAGTATATGACATGGTAGTAAAAGTTGGAAATTCCATTTGAAGTTGGTGTGGAGGATATATCATCATCTGTTCTCATTGGCTAATTTTTTATTTTATTGAATACTTTGCAAAGTATTATGCGTACATTATGATTTAATATAATTATGGCAGATTGTAGGGAGTGCCCAGAACGTTCACTATTTCTTCATGATCAGTTTGTCAAATGCAGGAATATCTCCAATCTGCAATGTGGTAAGCTTCAATATAATCTCTTTTTTTCCCTGCTCTTTTTCTAAAGCTGTTGCTGGCTGATTCAAATTAGTCTCTCTGACTTTGCATATTATCTCCTCAGTGTGAATATAGAAGCAATTGCATACATGATTATATATGGCCTCTGCTGGTGCAAGGTTGGTAGAACAACAATCCAGCTTTTATATTGCTCCAAGTTTTTCGATATCGGTGTTTCCCTGTCGTCTATTGTCATTTTTGTAGTAGTGTTTATTGAATTTGAACCATGTATATAAGTTTTGTGTATGTTTAGATGCCTTATTATTTACTCTTGCACAAGAAGTGATTATGTATTTGGAATTGGTATAGTTATCAATGAAATAGTTCTTTCTTTAAGGTTTGGTTGCTATACTTATTTTCTTTTTGTGAAATCATGTGTGTCCAGGGGAATATTTGATTCTTTTTGTGAAATCATGTGTGTCCCGGGGAATATTTGATATAAGCATATTTGTTAATATGAAATAAGGGTAGTAATGAAATTAATTATTTTATAAAATAATTATAAAAAAAAACTCAAACACGTCGTGCTTCTCAGGAATAGAGTGCGTGCAATGTGTGCCATGAAAGATATTTTACAGCACGCAAAGCACGCTGTAATTAGTTGTCCAAACTTCATGAGAGCTCAGTCATGGCGTGCGTTATTAACACTTGTGGCAAGCCAATGCATGCCGTAAAAGAAAAGTACTTTTTACTGCATGGCCTTTTATGGCACGTGGTAGCACGCCGTGAATGGTCATTTACGGTGTGCTTTGCACACCGTAAAAAGCCAATTTTCTTGTAGTGCTCTGATACCAAAGTATTTGAGAATTTATTCATGTATGTATTAATCTCCATAAAGAGGGATTTACAAAGGGATTCTGATCCTTAATTTGCTGGAATTTTCTTTGCTAGAAATCCCCTTGACTTTTTTTTAAATATAAACTTTACGACATCATTAAATAAAATCTAAGGGTTAAAAATTGGAGACATATATACGTATAATAAAGTGGGAGAAAAAAAAACAACCAAATAATAATTTTTAATTTGGCAACATAAACACCGTTCTCTCACCATCCCAACTTACCACCGTCTGCTCTGTCTCTTCCAATCTCCCAATCTGCCATGACTCATGGTATTGCAGGCTGTTGCTGTGGTAGGCAAAAACTCTCAGGTGTTTATGAGCCAACTCCAAAACCCAAAATCCAAATCCACAAAAACCAAAAACTAAATGTACGTAGTCATTAAAAATAAATATAAAAACTTAGTAGTGCAGAGCTTACATAGTTATAGATATGCCATTGCAACAATTGTAAACTACAAAGAACCTACAATAGTACGGAAAGAAAATAATTTTAACATACAAAGGCTTTAGATTGTTATAAAAAAAAATATAGTTCTCCTTTTCCGTAAAGCCAAATACAAAAATATTTATATTATAAATAACATATAAACAAATTAGAAAGCTTTTAAAGTAAAATGAAATTGAAGAAAACAAATTAATAGGTAAGTAAAAGCAAAATAAATAATAAGTAAGAAGGTGAGTTTGGTACGATGAAGCACGTCAATGACGTTGTCTTAAAGCCTTTGTCTCCACGTGCAGGAACAGACGGTCTACAAAACTCCAAGATACGACCCCTTGTACACAAACTCAAGATCCTCTATGAGCACGTTCATAGACGGATATAGGTATCCAAGTCACAGAACCATTGCCAAAATAATAATATAAAGTAAAGAATATATATTGTTCACCCGTTTTGATTTGTTTCCTGTGATGGTAGGGTAAAGTTCCCCATTAATCCAAAGACCATGGTTGGTCAATAAATTAACTTTCTTTGTGTGTCGAGCGTGCCACCGTTAGCAATTTTTCAATTCTAACAGACTTGAGAGTAAAAATAACTTGCGCCCCAAGCTATTGACTTTGAACAAACG